ATGGGTCAGGGAGGAGGTCCTACCCCAAGTGGAGGAGTTCAAGTATCTTGGGGTCTTGTTCACGAATGAGGGAAAAATGGAGCGTGAGATCGATAGGCGGATAAGTGCAGCGTCTGCAGTGAAGCGGGCGCTGTACAGGTCTGTCGTGGTGAAGAGAGAGCTGAGTCAAAAGGCGAAGCTCTCAATTTACCGATCGATCTACGTTCCCACCCTCATCTATGGTCACGAGCTTTGGGTTGTGACCGAAAGAATGAGATCTCGGATACAAGCGGCCGAAATGAGTTTTCTCCGCAGGGTGTCTGGGCTCTCCCTTAGAGACAGGGTGAGAAGCTCGATCATCCGGGAGGGACTCGGAGTAGAGCCGCTGCTTCTCCACATCGAGAGGAGCCAGTTGAGGTGGCTTGGGCATCTGTTTAGGATGCCTTCTGGACGCCTCCCTGGTGAGGTGTTCCGGACACGTCCCACCGGAAGGAGGCCCAGGGGAAGACCCAGGACACGCTGGAGGGACTATGTTTCTCGGCTGGCCTGGGAACGCCTCGGGATTCCCCCGGAAGAGCTGGCCCAAGTGGCTGGGGAGAGGGAAGTCTGGGCCTCCCTACTTAGGCTGCTACCCCCGCGACCCGACCCCGGATAAGCGGAAGAAAATGGATGGATGGATGGATGGATATATATATATATATTTCAGATTGATTGGAATTGTGCGCTGACTTTAGCTTTTTAAATTTTTTTATTTTTTTATTATACTGTTCAAAATATTCTATTTAAAAAAAAATCCTGTAGAAATATATTAAGATCAGTTCCTTCAAAACATCGATTTAGTTTAGCATAATTGTGCTTTGTTTTCTTTTGCTGTTTAGCATTTAGCTACATATTTGGCTCATTTGAGCTTTTATCTGTGGTTTTAGCTTTTAGCTGTGATTGTTTTAGCTTTAGCCACTATTTTATGGGGAGTGGTGGCACAGAGGTTAGAGAAGGTGAGCCTGTGATTGGAAGGTCGTGGGTTCAACAACACCAAAATGTGGATGGGAGCACCTACCTGCCTCCACCCTCATTTGCCCCACTCTGGACCCTTGAGCAAGACCCTTAACCCCCCTGCTCCCCCAGATGACAGCGCTCTGCTCCACACAGAGGGCTGTGGTAGCTCAGTGTCTGTGGTTGCATCAGGAAGGGCATCTGGCGTAAAAACAATTGACAAGTCTTCGAGTTAGTTCACTGTGGCGAGTCGACCCCTGATGAAGGGAGCAGCCGAAAGAAGGAAAAAAGCTTCAGCCACTGTTTTGCTATTACAGTATTGGCATTTAGCTATAATCGGGTTTACTTTAGTTGCTCTTGGATAGTTTTGCTAATTTTAGCCTTTAGCTACTGCTTTGCAGGCTTTGGCTTTTACTGTTCTGCTCCGCTGAGTTTGTTCTTATTGAACTTTTTTAATCTTTGTTTTCATTCTGCTTGGTTTGAATGTGAATGACTCAGTTAATCTTCTTCAACGCATTTCATTGCGATTTACGCATTCTTGCTCATTTACCTCAATGCAAATAACTAGAAAAATAATTTGTCCCGTTTTAAATGTGTTCTTTAAACGGAAAAAAATGGCTAATGATTTATTTTAAAGGAGCCCAGTAGGCACGTTCAACATAATGAGAGGATACAGGAGGAAACGGCGAGAAGCCACATCAGAAGGGCAATGAACGTTAATCAAATAACACTTCCATTTCCAATGAAACGACTTCTCTAACATGATTGCTGCAGAGTGGAGATGCCTGAGAGCAGCACAAATGTCAGTGGTGAAATGAAAACTGAGTCATGGATCAATATCTGCCAGGTTGGATGTAGATCCAGTTATATGCAAGGTTGAGAATTATGTGGTTATGATGCAAAACAGGAGAAATCTAATGGTCATTTCAAATTATGATGTTGGGGGTAGTTGTGAAAATAAAATATTGGTTGCAAAGCCATTTCAGCATGTCACCATGGTGTCAGAAACAGCTTCTACAAGAAATAATCTGATGTTCCATGGTTTATAGTCCTTAATGTGATTGTGTGGGAGACAACCATTAGCAGGCAAAGTAAAAGCATCTGTGTAGGTTAAAGCCGCAGTGGTGGAGACTTTACACCGTTATGAAAACCACAAAACTCCTGCATTCTACAAAAACAAGCAGAAATGCACATTTCCCTATTAGTTCATGCATGTGCAAAAGTTTAGGACAATTTTCTTTATTCTCATTTAAAAGAAATCTTTTCAAAAATATATATTTTTTGTGGCAAACAGACAGCATCTCTTATGACATTTTCCACTGCAAGCTGACAAAATAAACATGGTCCGTTCAAGGCATTACATGATGCTCAAGTTACAGAAAAGCATAGAAACAATAAAAAGCAGGCTCACGGTTTAAATATTTATGCTGCAATTATTTATTAACATCTTATAATGTAAAATCCATACCAAAAAAAATAAACAATCCAAACAGTCATAATCATGAATTTACATTGCACTTGTTTCTCTAGACTCAGAGCTTCTTTATTTGATCACACAGCTGTGAAACTGAGACGACAGCTTTGGGACAGAGTGAAGCTTCAGCTCCGAGCGCTTTCTGAAAGTTTCTGTCACTTTGAGCGGCTGATCTGAGGACTCATCACAAGCAGCCAGTCAATGGTCTCCTCCAGGAACCTCATGTTGTAGTGGGACGCGATGTTCTGAAACACCGTGATCTGCTCTGAGAAGCTCTTAAACAGAAGAAGAAAAAGAGTCAGCTGGAATCCTTCTAGGCTTTCATTCAGTAATGCGATATGACTGAGAGTGGGAACCTTGGCTGAGTAAGTGAGGTCGAAGTCTCCGGCACATCTGCAGTAAAGGGGCATGTTTGCTTCCTTCACTCCTTTGCATTTGGTGCACACCTAAAATCAACAAACTTTAAGTTGTCACTCAGCTTTAGGGGAGAAATGTGTGAAACAAACAAGCTTTAAAGGGTTAATGCACATTCTCGAGTTCGAAAGCCTGCAACTAATCCCAGTTAAAATCACATCAGTTCATATTAAAACCAATGCAAAAATAAAAATTACTAGACAAACTGCATTTCCTACGAAAATGCAGTAAATGCTTATTGCAGAAGTTGCTGAAAAACAGCTGAAAATGAAGATCAAGCTTAAATTAAGAAAATAAAGCAGAAAGAACACATATCTGCTGAATTACACATAAATGAGCAGAAATAAGCAAAAGAAAAAAAGGACATTAACTACAAAAAAGAGCTGAAATTAGCAAAAAAAAATACAGAAAAGTAGCTGATAAGGCAGAAAGAAGATTAAACTACCAGAAGGAAGTGGAAGGAGATGAAATGAGCTAAACAAAATGCGGGATTACCTGAAAAAAGCTAAAAACAGCATAAAAAAAGCTAAATAGTAGCTGAAAAAGCAGGAACTAGCAAAAAAGCTGAAAGGAGCATAACAAGCTAAAAGTAGCATAAAGAAGTTAATGTAGGTTGAAAGTAGCAGAAATTCCCATGAAAAACTTGAATTTATCTGAAAACAGCTTAAATTAGCTAAAGAATGCTAAAGGTAGAACAAGTTTAAATTTGCCGAAGAAAGCAGAAAGAACACGTTTGCTGAAAGAAGAAGAAATTAGCACAAAAAAGTGGAAATGATCTGAAAAAAAAAAAGCTTAGATTAGCAAGAAAAAAAAAAAGACAGCTGAAAAGTAGCTAAAAAGGCAAAAAAAGCTTAATTAACAGAAGCAAGTGGAGAGAGCACATTTTACTGAATTAGGCTGAAAACAGTTCAAATGAGGGCAAAAAATGTGGAATTAGCTGAAAAAGCTTAAATTAACATAAAACACATATAGTAGCTGAAATAGAAGAAAAAGTTGAAACTTGCAGAAAAAAGCTGAAAGGCGCATAACAAGCTGAAATTAGCAGAAAGAAGTTAGAAGTACAAAAATGTAGCAGTAAAAAAATCTGAAATGAGCACAAAACAGCTGAAATTAGCTGAAAGCAGCTGAAAAAATGTTTAAATTTGCACAAAGAAGCTGAACCAGAACAAAATGTGAAAGAAGCAGTAAAATGTTGTAAACAGATCTAAAGATTTGAAGGATGTAAAATGAGCTCAATTAATTTCTTATGAGGGGAAAAAAAGCGGCAGAAAAGGCTAAATGTTTCAAAAAGCTGAAGTTGCAGCAATACCAAAAGTCAGGGCAGGATTGTCCTGAAAGAGCTGAACGTTTCGATTTATGACTTGTTGAAATAGCTTCAAAACTGCGGGACGAGAATCGTGCCAAGAAACGTACGGAAGAAAAATGGCTCATGCTTCATGAACATCCACAACTAGAGAAGTAGTAAAATACTCATACGCGAGTTTCTGGATCATCTCACCTCACAAAACCAAAAATACCCTTCGTCTGTTAAAGATGCGTCATTTAACTCACCAGGTCCTGCAGGGTGTAACTCATGAGCTTCTTCTGCAGAGCTTCAACCAGCGCCATCTCAACCGAGTCCTTCTCATACTGAACCTGACAGTTTGAGCAGAACCACTGAGGCAAGACAGACCCGTCCTGAGGACACAACAGAGTTCATCCATCCAATGGGGCGTCGGTATAGAAGTGCAATTAAAAGACCCTGAAGCGGTTTGAATCAGGTGTTGCTTACCTGTGCCACTGACGGGTCCTTGCAGAGGTCCAGGTCCCGGCAGAAGTTACAGTGGTGGCAGATGACTTCAGGTAGGATGTAGGAGTTACAGGGGTCACGGAACTGGGCCTCCTCTGAAAACTCGCCGACGTCCACGAGACGCAGAAGGTCGCGCTTTAATTTGTTCACTTGATTCATGATGTTGGCATCAAGAGAAAGGACCTAACGATTCACAACACAAGGAGACATGTAAAAAAAAAGTGTATGAAAACAACTTTAAGAGCCGAGGAGAAGAGCTTTATAACGTTTTTGTCTGTTCTATTGAACTTTCAGGTAAAACTGCAACCACCTGGCACACGTATTTGATGAACTCCAGTGCGGGTTTGTTGAGCGGCAGGTGTGAGCCGGGCAGGACGGGAAACAGCTCAGACGTCTGAGTTACATTTCTGGACCCCGTCACCTTTTTCTGGATTTTTTGAGTGATGGTGAAAATGTTCTGTGTCAGCTCAGTGGCCACATATTCCTGGGAGAAGGAGATCATTCCTACAGAAACAGGAAAATCATTAAAAGTTGGTCAATTCTAACAGAACAGCTTATGGTGAGCCTAATGAGTTGAATTCACACCCTGAGGGACGCCACAGGTTCATAGTGACTGCAAAAAAACCCTTACCAGGAAGTGCACTCAAGTCCACCACTGCCAGCTGGGAAGTCTGGCTGCCTCCACGCCTCTTGACTGGCGTGGCTCCAGGAGCATTACGCCTCAGCTCCTCTTTCATGCTGTGGTAAACTGCAGCAATGTAAGCTGGATGGGAAGGAAGAGAGAGACACAGAAGCTTGTTGGAAAACTAAAGGCTCAGAAAGATACAGTATATTATATATATTTTTTATTTTATTTTACCTGAGACGATCATGAGGAAGTATTTCTGGCAGGAAGCTGTTTGTGGAAGATAGTGCATGATGTTCCAGTTGCTTTCAATCAGGTCTTCGACTTCTTCGCTCTCTTCGTTTACATCTTCCTCAACAACATCCTCATCTTCGCTCCCATCCTCGTCTTCCTCTCCTTGTCTGCTTTTCGTCTGTTTGGTTCCTTCCTAAAACCATAAGAGGGTCAGAGCTGCATTCAGTGCTTTTAAAGTGCAACCTGCAATTTGTTCCACTTGAAATATCTTTTTTTCTTTTTTTTGTGGAAGTTTAAAAATGTATATATATATTTTAAATTTTACTTGAGGGAGTACCGTTTTGTTCAAGAAAAGGCAATAGTGAGTTTCTGAAAAAGGGTTTTAATTCTCAGTACATTATGGTATCAGTGAATATAAAAGTTGAATGAATATATATATATATATATATATATATTACATTATAGCCCTGT